CATGCCCAAGATCCCGAGAGGAGAATGGAGGAGAAGGGATTGCGGCGTGACCATCCCCCCTGGGGGGTGATTTCTCACTTTCTGTCTCTATGTCTCTCTCTGTCTGTCTGGCGAGCACACGCGCCCTACAGTGAAAATCTCTCCAAAAAAAAAAAAAAAAACATGCCAGGCACCTGTGCACACGTGACGGAACCATTCCCATTGGGGTGGTGCTTTTTCAATGTCTCCTCTCTCCCTCTCTGTTTCTTTCTAGTGAGTGCACGTGTCCTTTGGCAAAATTTAAAAACAAAAATGTCCAGAACACAAACCCATGCCCACATGTGCACGCCGGCCCTGGCGGCCAGAGCAGGAGTGCTGAGCCGGGCTGCTGGCAGGGCTGCCCTTAGCACGAAACCACTCCATCTCAGGCCCAGAACGCCATCAGGCTCCAGTTCTGCAGCCAGGTATGAGTTTGCCCCCTCCCGCAGGCCAGGCCATGTGATCCAGCCCAGCCCCCAAGCAGGAACAGAGACAATGAATATCCTGGGGCCTTGTCTGTTCACAAGGATGGCTCCCTTTCCCTTTCAAATGGCACCCAGCAAGGACTGCTCCTACCTACAAGGCCAGCATATCAATCGCGGGTTCAGATGAATCGCCTCATGCCCCTTGGAGAGCAAGAGGCTCACCAACCCAGACTGATACAAAATTCATCTGGGTCTAGGGCTGCTCGCTCTGCAGGCTTTGATCTGCCTGGTCAGCTCAGCACCACAGACTTCAAAGGCCCTTGCTCCTCCCTGGGATGCTGTTTGATCTGGCTCCAGAGAGCAGCCTAGCCAAGGACTGGAGTGTTAATGGAAGGTTCTTAGCTGGCCTCATCAGTGGAGTATGAACCACTTTTGGAAACACGGCCCGGCCTTGCCAAGGTCTTAGCAGAGCCACCCCCTGTGAAGGGCTAGGAAGGCCTGGCCCCTCCGAGCCACCCTGTCCAGATCCTCAAGCACAGCCAATATGGCCCTTTTCTTATGAGCTGGATGGGGACAGCTTAGGGATGTGGGGCGGGTCTTAGAGAAAGGATTTGTCCCCACTTCACCATTTGCTAACCAAGGTAAAGACTGAGGCATGATCAGGTCAACCCGGAATGGAGAGCCCAGGCCTGGGGCTGAACTCCACCGCCATCTGTGCACGCTGGCCCTGCGGACATACTTTGAGTGTGGAGCACAGCATCTCGGCCTTGCCCAAGGCACTCTGCAGAGATTCCACAGTGGCGTTGCGCTCTTCCAGCAAGTCCCGCAAAGAGTCGATGATGACCTGGCTGTCCTGCTTCTCCTTCTCTGGAACAAGGTGAGGGGTAGGGGAAAGAGGTCCATCCACTCGTCAGCAAGAGACCTGGATCCTTGGGTTCTAGCACTTAGCCCTGAGCCAGGCGAGGAGCCACAAAGGCTTCTCAGGCCAGAAAGTCAGGTGGCCGCTTCTCTCTGGCATGCACAGAATCAAGGAACACGTTAGAGCCTTCATTCAAGAGACAAGCCCTTTTTCCTGCTTGAATTACTTGGGAAAAGATCTCACGGTTCCCCTCTCACACGGATCTAATTAGTTCGACCCCAGACTCAGCAGCTGAGCCCTCTCCTGCAGATACTTGGTCACCTCAAGGACCCCACACAGCCTTAGTGCCAGGCAAGAAGCCTCAGCAGGACAGGAGCGGCTCACCTGGACTAGGACGGCTTCGCCCACCTAGGAGGGCGTTGCTCTCCTTTTCTGCCAGTCACAAGAGCTAGCCCGACTCTCGGACATACGAAGTGAGGAGAAGCCTCGGTTCTGCCAGTTTGGAGGTCTTCCTCCTCGCCCCTCCCTCTACCACCCATGCCGGGAGTTTCCCAGGGCCCCTGGTCTCTTGCCAGCTCACCTTTTTGGGAAAGCTGGGCTCTGACATTGTCCAGTTCATTCTGCAAGGGAAAGGCCATGATGAGCAGCAGGAAGGCAGCACAGCTGTGTCTGCACAGCCCCCACGAGGCTGAGGGGAGCCCCAGGGTGGGACAGAGGCCTCCAGGTCCAGGAGGCATGGACTCTGCCATGCCTCAAGGTCAATCTGAGCCAACAAGGGAGACTAAGCACTGTTCTATCCCTATATGCCTATGTAAAAATAGGTAAAGGGCCAGCAAATGGCATAGTAGTTAAGGTGCTGGAATCCCACCTGACCAATTGTGGTTCGAGTCCTGGACCCAGTGGCTTGAAAATCACACCAGGTGCATGAGTGTGCATGTTCAAAATACCAAGAGGAAAATGGAGGAGAAGGGATTGTGGCATGGCTATCCCCTCTAGGGGGTGATTTCTCACTTGCTCTCTGTTTCTCTGGTGAGTACATATGCCCTATAGCAAAAAAGAAGCCTCTTTTTTTTAAAAAAAAAAAAAAGGAAAAAAAGTTTTTATTAACTTTATTATTTTCAATATTTTCAGACACACACACAAACACACAGAGAGAGAAAGGGAAAGTGAGAAAGTAAACCTCCAGGTCCGGGACTTGAACCACGGTTGGCCATGTGGGAGTCCAGCGCCCTTAACCACCACACCACTTGCCAGCCCAGCAAAGAAGAACTCTTAAAAAAATAAAATTAGGGACCAGCAGGTGGCGAGGTGGTTTAGGAGCCTGATTCCCACATGGCTGACAGCAGTTTGGGTCCCGGATCTGGAGGCTTGCTTTCCCACTTTCCCTTTCTCTCTCTCTCTCTCTCTGGTCAAATTTAAAAAATGATAATGAATAGAATTACATAAATAATTATTTTTAAAAATAAACTTAAAAACAAATAAAAGGTAGGTAAGAGGGGGGAAATAATCTCAGGAGGAAGCCCCCAGGACAAGGGAAGAGGTAGAGAAGGGCGAGGGAAGTGAAGTTGGCGCCGTGCAGCCCACTTCCTGTGCTGGCCTCATCCCCTCTGCGCCTCAGCAGCGCTCAGGAGGCGTTCAAGGACCTCGGGCCATGGCTGCTCTCCACTGTGTTCTGCTTCCTAGCTTACTTTCCCCTAAGCGCTAAGCTAAGCTCTGCACTGGCTCCGGGTACCACAAAGCTTCCAGCCCCAGAACCCAGCAGAAGTAGGTAAACGAGACAGCTTCACACTCCAAGATCCCCTCCGTGTCAGGCTCTAACAAGCCTGTCGAGTGAACCTTTCAAAGCCCCAGCGTAAGTTCCAGAGCCACTGCCACAGACCACTGAGAGGCTGGGAGAAACAAGCCAGCATCCCTGTGGGCGAGAGAGGCTCGTGGCCCATAACCAAGAGCACCAAGGCTTTGCAGGGCCAAGGTGTCATGGTGGTAACTAGACGGAACCCAGACTAGCCTTCCTTTACGTCATCCTCTGAGGTCACAAGACTCAGAGTTTCACGTGACCGATACTGAGGGCCAGGTCAAGCCCCCTGAAGTTAAACCCTCTACCCAGGACTCTGGGGCCAGGGGCTTCTGGTGACTGGGCTGGTCGCATAGGCTGAACGCTGGGGCGGGAGTGGTGGTGGGTAGGGAAGGGCAGGCAGGGACTGCCTGAGGACAGACGCCGTCAGAGGCTGCTGCGCCACTACCCATCGTTGCCTGGTTCTTCCCGCAGCACGGCAGGGTGCCTCCTGAGCCCTTGCTTCAAACTCCTCAAGATGCTGCCACCTGTCTTGCACACCCAGCTTTGAAAACCAGAAAGAAGCGAAGCTGGCTTTGTTGTTCATCACAGGAAGGACACTACTCAAAACTGGGAGCAGTTTCCATGACGATGAACACGCTGGCTCAGAGTACAAAAGCTCCACGTTCCTGAACCAGTGCGGTTCCAAGGACATTGCGAGCCCTGGGGCCAGGGCCCAGTGAACTCTGATCTGACAGATGCCCAGCACGTTGACCCTCGGAATCCAGGGGCCACTTGTAAACCCCAACTCAAATTCCTTGAGAGCTTTCCAATTCAGCTCTCTCATGCCCAAAAAGCTAAGTTTGAGATTTGGAGAAAGCTGTCAAAGTACGGAAAGGAACCTCCCCGGCTTCCCTGACAATGGGTTTCCCCCTGGGCTGCAGATCTTGATTCCAGACTCTTTGCCCTTTCTTTGCAGTCTGGGGAAAACTCAAGCTTCTGACTTAACACTGAGTTCCCCAGGCAACTTGAAGACACAGCCAGATTGGGGAACACTGTATCCCCACAGCTTCCCGGCCAGGGAATGAGTTTTCTAATGCATCATTCACTGTCCTGGCAGCTAAAGCGGGCTAGGCAGGGTGACCATCAGCCCTTCATAAGGCGAGGGGACTTCAGGAGACACACAAGGGTAGGGCGGACTGGCTGAGTTCCTCTTCTTCCCTCGCGGCGCATTTCCTGGTGACCGGGTCTCATCATCACTCTCCTCTGTTCCCCTCGGCCCCTAGGAACCGCACAAAGCCTCTCGTTTTCACACCCAGGCACCCTCCCTACGGGGGAGTAGAAAGTAAACGCCAGAGGGCTTGGGCTTTGATGGGATGAGATCAATCTGGGTACCTTTAAGAATTCCGCATCCAAGACACTGTCCTCCTCCGGAGCAAGGTCAAAGAAGAGCTTATTGATAATGGTTCTTTTGCCGACCTGGGTGGAATGACAAGGCAGAGTATGACTGTGTGGCTGGGTCATGGGCGAGGGGGCCAGGGCTGGCGGTAGGTCTGTCTGCTTGCCTAACACTCATGCCAGGCCTGTTCTCAGGCCTGCCCCTCAACTTCATCCTCTGGACTCAGAAGTCAGTCCCTGTTCCAAGCCGGGACTGCCGGTTTGGTGGCTGCTGAAGTCGTCACTGCAGACCTACGTGGCCAACTCTAGGTGCTGGGGCACTGAAGGAAAGGCAGAAAAGGCACCCAAATATACTCAGGTGAGTGAGGATTGGCCTAGAGACAGAGTCTACCTGCCAGTGGTCCGTGGGTACAGGCAGGCCCGCCAAGCACCCCAAGGGCACAAGTGAGGCTCAGCCAGCCTCACATCGGGAAACCACAAAATGCCGAGTTTCA